GGATCTGGGGCACGCACGCACACGCGCCCAGCGTGAGTTTTAAGCCACAGGGTTCCGATCGCGAACTACGGTCGACTACGTGGGAGTCCAGCGACAGCCATTACCCTAACTGCTGGTTCCCAAGGACTGTCTATTTCAACTCCTGGTTCACTGAGGCCCAGCTAGCTGGAATGGCCAAAGTCAGGCAGCTGGGAAATGACCAGCAGTGGAGCAAAGTGGGCGTTTTCTGCCATGTGCCCTTGCTATGACCCAGCCCTGCCCCTCTTTTTATTGCAGATCCGGGACCACCTTCCTGCTTTCTGCTTCTGTTTTGCTTTGTTTCTTTTCCTAACTTTTCCCTGTGCTTTCCTCTCTGGCCTTCATATTTGTCTCTTCCCCTGGCCCTTGTCTCCAGGCTCTTCCTCCCTGCCCCTCACCCACCTCCTCCACCTCTCTGTGGCATGCCTTGCAGTCTGGACACCCTTGGGATCTCATGAATAAACATTCAGATGTCTGCAGCTATGACCACCCACGCCGTCATACAGCATGTGTGTGCACACATTGGTGCCAAGTCCCTACGCATGCACAAACTTACCCACAGCCATGCTGATAGAATGCAGAGACACCGCAGACCTGTCTGACAGTCTCGTGCATGGTGAAAATCACTGGGATGAGACCCAGTATTATTTGGGGACAGAGGGAGAAGCTCAAAGAAAACATGCAACAAGACTGTCATTAGTTTTATTGTCAATAGGAATGACAATACAGTAGTAGGAAGTCTTTATGGAACGGCAGCACTTTATTAGGCACCCCTTTCAGGAATCCCCATACTTATCAGGCACTTAAATATGACACGCTGATAAACCTACACAAACACAGGGACATCGTCTTGGAATAATCTTCCCAACTCAATGCTCCTAAAACACGCAGAAACCCAAACAAAGCACCATGGATCAGACCAATGTCTATTTTGAAAAAGATGCATTCTTTTGCTATGGAAGACAGAATAACACCCCTCTTTCCCCAAAACCTGTCTCCATTCTTATTCCTGGAACCTGTGACTGTGTTATCTTAGTTGGCAAAGAGAAATTAAGTTTGATGGGGAAATTAAGGTTGCTAATCAGTTGAGTGCAAAGTAGGGAGATTTAACCAGCAGTTAGCATAATGGCTATGTTGCTGGACTACCATGTAGTTGACCGCAGTTCGAATTCCAGACCCAGTGGCTTAAACTCACGCCGGGCACATGTGCATGCGTGCCCAAGATCCCGAGAGGAGAATGGTGGAGAAGGGATTGTGGCATGGCCATCCCCCCTGGGGGATGATTCCTTGCTTTCTGTCTCTCTGTCTCTCTCTGTCTTTCTGGCGAGCGCACACACCCTATAGCAAAAAAACCTCTCCAAAAAAAAAAAATACTGCAAAGTAGGGAGATTATATTACCCACATGGGTTCAGTGCAATCACGAATATCCTTAGAGGTGGAGAACCAAGCACAAGAGGAGACCCAGAGAAACAGCGGCATGAGAAGTGCTCAGTGTGACATTGCTGGCTTTGAAGATCGAGGACAGGAGCCATAAGAAAAGGAAGTGGGTGGCCTCTGGAAGCTGAAAAGGCAAGGGAATGGGCTCTCCGCTACAGCATGCTGACACCTCGATCCTAGCTCAGTGAGACCCCTTTCGGCCTTCTGAACTACAGAATTATAAGATCATAAATGGGTATTGTGTTGAGCCACTAAGCTTGTGGTCATTTGTTTTTTGGGTTTTTTTTTTTTTTCTTGGGGGGGTTTTTGTTATAGGGACCGTG